AAAAATTTCATTTTCACAAAAATCGGAAAATCTGCTTTTGAATTCCTCTTTCAAAATTGAAATTCATGATTATTTGAATTCCATGTTGTAGAGTTCTTCACAGAAAGTTTGTAGCTTTGAGGTCACTCCACTTCATCAATTTTAGAAAGTCAGTGGAATTCGTATTTAACAACTGACTATCCCACTGGATTAATTTTGTCTCAAAAGCTTTCACAAAGCAATAAAGATTACGAAAAAGTAGGTCTTTTCCCAGTAAGCGGTAGTTCAAACCTTTGAGATGACCTGTGATATTGATGAGAAATGCAAAGTCTCTGAACCATTTTTCATCACTAAACTCATGCGGTACCTTGAGCGGGATGCTCAAGGTAACCTTTGGTGAAGTATTGACGAAAGATTGGCATCTGTTACAAACCTGTTAGAAATGAGAATCTACCCTTTGTATGGAATTGAGATTTTATGCATAGTCAATTTTTTTATTTTTAAAATTATGTTAGATAAAGTGAAAATTTTAAAATATTCGTCATTTTTAGAAAATTTTATCTCAGGTAATATCAGGCATATCAATAAAATGTTGTGAATATCAAGAATAAGAGAAAAAAGTTTTTTTACGACAAAAAGCTGACAAAGCAATTTTTCTTGCAATCAAATTCAAATTTTTCTTCAAATTCAAATTTGGGGCCACTAAAATGCCTTCAGTGGGCCATGGGTTGAAGACCTGTAATGTTCTTAATAGAAAAGAAAAACTTAGCAGTTGTAGCTGTAGATTCAACACATAATTTTATTCTTTGATAACTAATTTTTAGAACACATATTCTTCTTTAAACATCATCATTATGAGTGTAATTATATACAGTCAAAAGTCGTTAATTCGGACCTCAAAGCTAAAAACTTTCTGCGCATGCGCCACGTTGACACATGCGCATAGGTGTTTACACGTGCGCGTAAGACCATTTACGTCTGCGCATATGCATGTGCGCAAGTGCAGAATGTTGTTTACGCGTGCGCGTTTTAGGTACAACGGACGGTATAAGCTAAAATTATCTAATTATCTATTTCAGTTAATTTTGATGATTGTGTTGTTCCTAATTCGAATTGGATCCGGCTTATTATTTTTGCAGACGTAAGAGCATACTATAAAAGTAACTTGAACTTTCGATTATGTCAAATAATTTCCGATTCTGAGCTCCCCAAGGATCGTACAAAACGAAAGTATGTTTCGATGTCATCAAACAAAAAGTGAATTTTGCTGCAAAAAATGGAAAGATATGAAATGTGACAGAGAGGTTAGTGAAAACGAAAAATTTCGATTGACAAGTAGGCGGTATTCTCGTCACAGCAATTAACGACTAACACGAACTTTTAACTGAACAAGAAATTGTCTGTTATGATTAAAAGAGAAGTATATCATAAAACGAAGCAACAAACAACTACATTGAAAGAAATGTTTAATAAAGTAACAAATGATATTAAGCTTTTTTTTTGTAATTTTGATACCCTTTAGATCTAATTGTTCTTTATTTCATAAATTACGATTTCATTTTTAATTTTAGAATTTCTGCATGCCTCTTATGAGATTTAAACTGATGATCTAATCCGGAATCGCCGAACAGTCGATTAATGACTTTTGACTGTATAATAAAATTTTTAGATAACTTAAGATTCTTTACTGTAGATCAGGGTTTCTTAAACTTCTTTCAGTCGCGACCCCCAGGACCCCATAATATTTACAAAAATTATGTGGACCCCATAAAATATTGTGCAAATCTGACACACTCATGACTGAAACTGTCAATTTTTCACTTCTACTGTAATATACTATTGCAGTTTTAGGTCATTAACTTCAATTTCTAATATTAAGACATAGAACAATGTGAAAATTTAAATAATAACAGACAAATGACAGTGTCACGTGCAAAGCAAGAAAAGAACGTTTATATAAAAAAGAAGCATCGAAACATTTCATTTTCTTTGTCTGTATTATTTTTATGTATTTTCAGAAACATTGTGTAAAAATATTTGGTAATTGTAAAATTATTATAATAAGTTAAAAAACTATCAAAACTTCTAAAATTTTTGACGGCCCCCTGCTGCAGGTTCCACAACCCACAATTTAAGAAACCTGCTGTAGATACAGAATGATAGAGCTGTATACATATATAACATATATAATGGAAAAGGAAAACCTGAGCAGATGTAGCTGTAGACTCAACCCATATTTTTTTGTGTTGAATATTATTTTTTTATGATAAGTTTTAGGATACATATTCCTCATTACATATCGTCCACAATTTTGTATAACTTGTCATGAGCAGCGCATGTTCGTATAGTGAGAGGAAGGGAAGAAAGTAAGTGTGCATTTTAGCAAAATGATGTTTATAGAGTTGCCTCTTTGTTAAAATTTTTATCTTTCTTTGGATTAAAAAAATATTTACAATGCTACTGTTATATAATGTCATAATGCAGATTAATTTAGATGTGACATGCTTTAGATTCAAATATTGGTAGTTTTAGGACAGGAAGGGGATGTAACCAAATTAAAATTAATTAAAAGAACTATAGTAACTTAGTAGCTTCTTTCATGTTTTATATCTTGCACGTGCACACACACACACACACATATATACGTCATATTTGTAATGCATAGTCCTGCTGGTTGAATGGAAAGACAAACAGATGATGCCACAAATGAATTTTGAAGAACTCCCAATTTTATTTTCACGCATATAAAAACCACCTTAATAGATAATCACAATGAATTACAATAATTTCTTTATACACAGGTTAACGGGGGCGACAGCAATTATTAGATGGACAAGCAGAGCAGTGAGGATATCCTAGCAGGGGCAGAAAAGAATTATGTTTATTGTGGCAAGAGTATTTATACTAAATATGATTTATAAGTATAGCGAATCTGTTATTGGTTAATTTCATGTTGTTACATAACATGGAAGGATCTTGAATTTGGGAGAACAGATGAATTTAGAGGAACACCAAATTTAGAATAGTTAATTTTGAGGTTGCCAGTTATTCTTAAAGCGGCTGTCGTATTTTGTTATATGTTACATATTGCCCCCCTTCAAAAGAAATGTTGGGAGAGCAGGGTTCAGAAGAAGCATTAGTAAATAAGGGAAGCAAGAGAAAGTTTATCATATAAGGAAGGGCATGAGGAAGCATCAAGGACATAGCCAGCAGGTTTTCCTATGCCTCGTCATGATTTATGACCTTTCTCATATATGGATTATGAAATACTTAACAACAGATAATTTACAAACAAGTAATTTCTAAAGAAACTAAACAATAAATTAATACAAATATAATTGTTAAAATTGTCAAAATGTCTAATGTCTTTGAGTGTCCAATGAAAATTTTTTTGCCTGTTGATAATAGTTCCACAAGGTAAATTAATAAATGTTTTCATATAATAATATAAGTAGTAATATAAGTAACTGTTCACTAAAAAGGTCTTTCAAATTTTTGTTGATGAAAATATCTCTATTATCGTACAGATTGAGCTGCAAACTTTCAAGTTGACAGGATTCGAACATGCGCGAGGAAACCCCAATGGATTTTGAATCCCGTCGACTTTTTAAACTGTCATATTTTTAATGCATAGTCATGCTGGCTGAGTGGAAAGACGAACAGATGACACCAACACAAATGAATTTTGATGAACTCCCAATCTTTATTTTCACGCATATAAAACTATCTTATTATCCATATTTATCCAATCATAATGAATTAATTTCTTTATGCACTGGTTAACGGGGGTGACATCATTTTAGACGGACAAGCAGAGCAGCGAGGATATCTTAGCAAGAGCAAAGCTAAGAAAAGAATGACATATTTTATTGTTCCAAGAGTACTTATACATCTACATCTAATCTGTGATTGGGTAATTTTAGGTTAACATAACATAAAAGGAGAACAGATGAATTTAGGGGGAGAGCACCAAATCTAGAATAGTTAATTTTGAGGTTGCCAATTATTCTTAAAGCAGCTATTGTATTTTGCTATATCGTACATATATCTCTCTTGACTAACTTTTTCAGAATTTTTGTTATAGGCACACTGTTACTGCAGTTGAATCTGGAATTGTAAAACTATGGAATGAAGAGGAAGAAAAAGAGGTGTTACTTTTATTTTAAATATATGAAGGTGTTATAAATATATGCCAATTTGTTAACTATTCATATGTGGAATAGAAATGATGTTAAGTATTATATCATTATTTTTATTAGGATATTGAAATAAATACTGAAGGTAACTTGTGTAGAATGGTGCAGAACCCTACAAAGACATTTCACATAGCTACTGGTGGAAAAGAAAATGACTTGAAAATCTGGGATTTACAAGCTCCCCAAACTCCTATTTTTAAAGCAAAAAATGTAATTATATTCTATCCCATATTCTTTAATTCATTAATGTAGTGTATCTGAATGAATTTTTTAACAGAATTTTATAATTGAACCTTATCTGAGTGCAAGTCATAAATCACTAATTATTATTTGGGCTTCCTCAAATGAAGTAAGAGAGCAGTATTTTTATTATTATTTTTTATTTATGCATCTGTGTATTATAGATGTCGCTTTTGATGTTTAAATTAAATGTTTTTGAGTCTTAGTATTATGGTGGTTCCCTCGCAAGTCACAATCCAAAGCTGGTATCACAGTTTAGCTGATACAAGGTGCGAGATGACATGCTGTTAGGTTGTACATGATTATGAGCTGATGCAAGGTGTGAGATGACATGCTTGATATACTGAAGCAATATCTTATTCGATAATGGTGTTCCATTGGACATTACAAAAGCCAAAATTTCAAGATTATTGTCAGAAAATTTCAGTGAGCTGCAATGTGTATGTCATCAAAGTCTCTAGATTTTAGGAGGCTAACCAAGCAATGATTCTGCAGCTGCTCTGATATTGTCTTCGATTATAATGAACCAGAACACATAAAGTAAAACTATTATATTAAAAGAGCATGACCAAGTCAGGAAAATGTTCCAGACAGAATGGGTAACCTGAATGCTTTGAAACTCACAAGAGGCTCATGCTGCTAGCAAGATTCTCGCATAATAAAGACAATAACTGCACTTACTATCTAAATAATTGTTTTTGTGCATTCAACTATAGGTTATCAATTTGTTATGATAATTGTTAGTAGTGCTTTCTTTAGAACATTAATAAATATGTTTGAGCACATGTACGCAACAGGTTACCAGTTGTCCAATGCCATCATTCCATTAGAGTCACCCCAGTATTATTTCTTATTGAAACAGTTATTTCATTTTTACATATCAAGTAAAATGAGTGAAATTCTTTTATTTTTCCCTTCTTCTTTTCTTGGTCTCTCTCTCTCTCTCTCTCTCTCTCTTTTTTTTTTTTTTTTTTTAATTTTCCTTGGTGATGAAAGCATATAATTTCATTAATTCCCCTCCCCCCAAAAAAATAATGCTGTATACCATTGCCAAAATGAAAAAAGTCTGTTGCTGATGAAACAGAAATGATTCATCTTAGTTGCAAAAATTTTGGTATTATCTTATTTACTGATCAAGTAGTGCTATTAGTGCCAATTATGGATGATCATGTTCTTTAGAGTTCCATAGTTAACAACTGGTGACTATTGCCGAAATTTCCACCAATGGTTGATATGCTTTATTAATTCAGTACAGTGTAAGAATTCTGAAATTGTTTCGTAAATTAAAAGATTGTTATCTGCTTTCCAATCATGCCAATTAGGTCAATCATAAAAATATTAACATAAACCATTGCTTGAATTAAAGCATGGGAATGAAAAAAATATATATATATATCTGTTTCAAATCTTGAAAATTCACTGAAATTTTAAAAGTTAGAGCTCATCAATGAATGATATAATGGAATTATTTGTTTGATAAGAGTATAAACGTACTGGTTGATCTTACTGGTGACCAGTTCCAGATAGCACCATTTCCTAAGTGAAAAGAAAGAAGCATTGTTACACATCATTCTTATTGTAGATAGTTTTACTCCCTTGTACATGTGGGCCATTTTCTATTTTGAATAATTATGCTAAAAATTGAAATAAGCAAGTTTTCAGAAATAAGAGATTTTTCAAATTTTGTTTTGAATAAAAGCTTTTAAAAACTGGAAGATGTTTTCAAAACAGCTGCTTGTTAAAAGTTAAAAATACCATCTATAGCTTGAAGCAGAATGTGCTGAAATTAGATGAAAAGAGAAAATTGACATGAGTGCTGACTATATAAAAACCTCTTGCCTCAAACTGAAATTGTTAAACAGGGTAATGTGAATCAATCAAGAGTGCATTGGTACATAAAGATTAGGACTGAAAAATTTTAACAAACCAGTTTGTACATGGCTAACAGTGGCAAACAAATTTTTATACTGTGCATTTATTGTTATGCAGTGAGAAATATAAAATTAGATCTTATCACTTTTTCACATATCTAATCTGACTGAAAAGAAAAATCCAGAACTTAACCAAACATACAGAGTAAAAAGGGGGGGGCCACAGATTTCAGAGGTACATGTTGGCCATCTGGTGTCATGATATAGTCACAAAGCCTAGCACCTCTTTTTTTTTTTTTTTTTTTACAAAAGGCAAAAAACTTTTAAAGTTCTTCATTCGAAAAGTTACCCGTTATCTAAGGTAGTAAAAGGACTTCAAGCTCTTCGTATGAAGAAATCCAGAATATTCTCGCATATCTTCGTTCATAGCAGAACAATACAATATTCCCTTTTTTCCCTTTAAAAGAATAGAAGTTTAATGATAAAAATATTAGACTTATTTATTAGTATTGATGAAAATTGTATATGAAAGGAGTAAAATGTCAAACGATAATTTACAGTTTTAAAATATTGAAATGATACTTTTAAACACTTCTTCACTTTTGAGCTCAGAACTGAAACAATAATAGGAATTCATTCTGCATGTATTTCATAGCCAACACAAGCCACCTAGTATCGTATTACATTACACAGGGGTGTTTGTGCTCCAGGGAAACCCCGGAATTCCAGGGATTTTGAACTTCGATACCCGAAAATTCCGGGGATCGTTGTTCAAAAGGAAGTAGGAATAATAATGAATTATTTATTTTGATCTGGGTAATTTTGTTTGCTTTGAAAGCAGAAAACGCAAGGTCAGTGTGTGTGGTGAAAACTTTTCCTTTCTTTCTCCAAAGGCAGTGATAATGCGTGAAAAGGGGGAAAAAACTTCTTTTTTGTTCTTTCCTTATTGCGAGTTATGACTTATTCCCACCGGTTCTCAGACATTCTCTTCTGGATTCTTTTCAGAAAGTAGCCGCAGCAGAAAAAAAAGGGAGAGACTTCGTTCGATCAGATGTGCGATCAATCTCTCCTGGTGTGGCGCCAATAAGTAGAGAAGGGGGATTTTTCGCCGTATTAGCTATTTGTCATTGACCGCTTCTCAACTTTTTTTCCTGCGCTGTGTAAAATTTTCGTTTCATTTATTGATGCACTTGTAAATTTTTCGTTTCGTTTATTGAAATATTTTTTTATTTATGTACGCAAGAGAATTTCACTACGAAATTTCTCGATATAAATAGTGATATTATACAATTAGAAGAAGGTGTCCGGAATGCATTTAGGTGGAATTGGATTGAACGGAGAGATGGTAATGGGGATACCATCGGCACATGGTGCAAGAAAATAAATGTTGCTGGACAAGCATATTGTGTTTTTTGTAACTCTCTGCTGAAGTATGGTGGGGAAGGATTCAAGGCTTTCACAAATCATTCTAAAACTGTGACGCACATAAAATATTCAAAGTGCATTAGACATTCAATGACTAAGTAATTATGCTAATTCAAAAAATACTGATGACTTACTGGAGACTGATGCTCGGCCATTGGATATAGTGACAAGAAAAGCACGCCAAAAAGTATTAATAACTTATCGCCGAGAATTCTCTTTCTTTCAATGTAGCTCCCAATTTAATTGAACTCTGCAAACAGTTGAGCCGCGATCAGACGGTACTAAACTCGTTGGAAATGTCCAGGACTACTGCATGTTATAAGATGAAATATGGGCTCGCAAAAACTATTAAGGAAAATATCATTAAAACTTTAAAGGAGACTCCATTTTCTCTAAATTTGGATGAAAGTACTAGCAATGCTCAAGAAAGTATACTGGCAATATTGGTGCAGTTTTATGACAACAATCAAAATGAAGTTGTAGTTCATCATTTTGCATCTCTAAAGATGGAATCTTGCAATTCAGAAGCTGTTTTTAAAGCAGTTGTTAATACTATTGAAGATAATAATATTCCATGGGCAAACTTAATTAGTTTATTAATGGACTCATGTAACACCATGCGTGAGAAAAAAAAGGGTGTTGAAACCAGAGTATGATCAAACAAAGCACCCCACTTATTAGATATTGATGGTGACACATGTCACACAACTAATAACTGTGCAAAAAAATTTGCTTCATGTTTTGATAGATACTTAGACGATTTGTTTGATGACATCTATTTTGATATGAAAAGCTGCAGTAAAAGAGAAAATTTTTTCAAAATCTGTGAATCCCTTGCCATTAAAAAACTTATGCCCTTAAAGAGACCTGACCATAGGTGGGTGTACATTTTATGTGTTTTAGAAAGAATCAAAGATCTGTGGGATGCTCTTATTGCATTTTATTTTCACTACTTGGATAAAACTGATAAAGGGGATTATTTTTCTTATGTTGAAACTGTATACAATAAAAAAAATATTTCTGCAGCTGAAAAAAAAAAAAAATTGTTGAAGGGGTGTATTCTTGCTTGCATTCCCAACAACTCACAAAGGATGCTTTAGCTCGGAAAAAAAGAATACTAAATGGGTTATTTGTTATGCAAAACAAAACTTTATTGCATATGGCATTATATTCAGCAGTATTACCAGAGTTCAACACATATATTAAATTATTTGAAACAAACAAAAAAAAAAAATTGCTTCATTAATACATTCCAGTATTTATAAATTGATGGCAAAATTTTTCTCTTTTTTTATGAAGCCAGAAAATATAGAGTGCACATCTTATAATGATTTATTAAAGGTTGATGTCGCAAATCCAGAATTCCATCTACATAGCAAAGTAATATTTAATGGTGCAGAAGCTTCCACTCTCCTGAAGAAATTATCAAAAAATCATCCAATAGCAAAAGAATTCCAAATTTCTCTGATAAAAGCTTATACTAATACAGCACAGCATATGAAACAGAAATTACCCCTTAAAAATTCATATCTAATTACTTTTACAGCATTAGATCCAGAGCTAAGAGGTAAAACCAGTACAATATTAGCTTTTGAAAAATTATCACCTTTTATGTCCCATATTTTTAGTGATAATGAAAAGTCAAAAGTAGAAGCTGAAATAAGGTTATACCAGAGTGGTATTGATATCACCAAAGAAATGCTCTACACATCTGATGAAAGTGGAAATCAAGTCAAGTGTACAATTGATAAATTATTGGTCTAAAGTTTTTAATTTAAAAGATGATTTCACAAATGATTATAAGTATCCTACATTGGCTAAATTGGTCAAAACCTGCCTTAGCTGCTTCCATGGCCCATTAGTGGAAAGTGCATTCAACTTAATGGATACACTTGTCACTAACTATAGAACCTCTCTTAAGATTGATTCCCTAGATGCAGTGCAGACTATTAAATATGATTTAATGGCTTCTAAAGAAACCTCATGTGAAAAATGTGGCTCAAAAAATCCAATGACTGATCCAATTCACAAAGATCTCTTACTGAATACGAACAGAAGTTGGAAAACATATCAAGAGGACTTAAAAACATGTATTTCAGATGAGTCACCTATAAAAATCTGAAAAACCTTCTACATTAGCAGGAAAAGCAAACTGCTTCTACCTCTGCATGTGCAGTTCTCGAGGAAATTTCTCAATTGTAAATGAGGAAAATGAAAGTCAACCTTCCTGCAATTATGAAGTTCACCACAAAAGAAAGACAAGCCCACAAACATCAGAAAATAAAAAAAAAGCAGCAGAAATTAGATAATTTTTTTAAAGAATTAATTCAAGTAATTAAAAATATTTACATAAAATGTAGTAGTTTATATGTTTGAAAATTTATGGTTATTAATTTTGCAAAAAAAGTAATTCATTGAACTTTTATAATTAGGTCATTCAATACTTCATAATTGTAATTTTTCATTTCTCTCTCCCCCCCCTTCTCGAAACTCCAAAATGTCGGTAGTAAGTCCGTAAAAGTTTCAGGGGATTTTTTGGTGTCCCACAAGCACCCCTGATTACAAAATATGTTATGCACAAGATTTAAACCCCTTTGTTTTCTCTTTAAATTTTTTTTTAAGAGTTGTTCAAAGCAGACAATGTTATTATGTAACTTGAGTTTCATAATTTTTCATAGAACAAAGTTTGGAAAATTGTGATGTAGATTTTATGTACAATGATAAATGTTTTCAGTTGAAGTAATTTTCATTCTTAAAAATATTAAACATAAAACATTCAAACTTGGATGTTTTCATGATGTAATTTGGATTTTAGGCTTTTAAAATAAATTAGCGCTTTATTAAAATTTCATATTTTTAATTTTTCATAAAATAGTTTATGAAAATATTGAATAAAATTATGCTAATATGAGCCTGTTTCTAATATTTTATGAAGAAATTTTGCAAGTGTAAATTACCCTCCTCCCAGTGACTGAAGTAATGAAATTTAAGACGTCGTTCTGCTTTGACAATGCCGAAAATATGAGAATCATATTAGAAAGAAGGAAATACTTAATTTCTGTTCAGACAGCAGCAGTTGTTTTAAATTCTTTGATATTATAGGTGTAATTTCTATTTTGGGGAAAAGATGGGCCTTTTAAATATCACATCTGTCTTAGAAGACATTATGGTTACAAGTTGTACGTCCACTGTTGGGACCATGTTTGAATGCCAGGAAATGCATGGATATACGAGATTATGTCTTTATATGAAAGGCTATTTAAATTCTGAAAATTATCTTAAGAATTGGGTATTGTAAGAAATGTATGAAACTTGTAGATATAAAATTGTATATAGTGTATAGAAATAATTTGTTATTTCACATATGTAACTCAGTATTTTGGAAAAATACAATCTAAAATTTAGGATTACATCTTTAAGACATATTAAATTTTGTTTCTCACATATCGTAACTCTTTGTTCTATCCTTTTCTGTGCCAGATTGATTGAAATCAATATTTTGAAAAGATACAATCTAAAATTTAGAATTACATCTTTAAAACATATTAAATTTTGCCCTCAAAATTTTTATTATCATTTATTATCTTTATCACATGGGAAGCATGCAGTAGTACTATGCATTTAAGTACCTGTGATTTCTTATTCTTGTATCCATGCCTTGAACTTTTGTAAAGCATGTTAAATTTAATGTTATATAGTGTGGGAAGTTTTATTTAATTTTGATGCTGTATCTGTTTTGTGATGATAGTTCCAGATGGACAGAGACCAGTGCCCCCTAGCTACTGATAACGCATTTCGAGATCAGGTAACTTTACGGAAAACCATGTGCTCATAGTTGGGATTATAATAATAGACATCACTAAATATTTTTAAACTATTGAATTTCACAGTGTCTGTTTTCACTTGTCTCGCACTTATGAACCATTTATTACAACAAAGTTCGGAAAGCTTTTTAGGGCTGCAGTAAACCCTTGATACTGAATCAGTGGATGTAGATTGCACGAATATACATACTTCTGCTTTAGTATCCCATTATGCTTTCTTTATACTTTTTTTAAGAGGCAAATAATCAATAAAATATAAAGCTTCTGTTTATATATGAATTTTTAAAATTAAGTGAGCTATTTTTTTACAGGTACCAAATGATTTCTTAGATTTAAGGGTTCCTGTTTGGGTAACTGATATGAAATTTAAACCCGATGACAAGATTGTCACCTGTACAAGGCATCATCAAGTAAGATTTTTGTGCTTCTGGTATGCATGAGCAACTATTTATATAGTGTATATTTTACAAAAGCTATGGTATATGGAATTGTTCAAATTATGTATCAGAATTTTGCCTTGTGATCAAAGTTCATAATTTGAAGTATTCTGTTAAAAGAACTAATTAGTCCCTGGAAGTGAATAGTGGATAAGTCCTGATTTAGAACTGATAATTTGTCCTGAGTTTTTCTTAATTTAATGAGCTATGTAGGCTTTTCATGATTATTTTCATGTCTAATACAAATACAAATCAGTTTCTGTAGAAATTTCTGCATGAAGGCATTGCCAGCTGTAACTATATAGACTAATACAAATTGGTCTCTGAGAGAGAGTGAATAAATTTAGAAAAACGTGTGTGAAATGCGACATATTTATTTAATAACATAAGTAATAAAATAGAGTAGGTAGAGTAAATAGGAAGTATTCTAAAACCATTAGTTATTCACATAATTTATTGCTTTTTAATATTTTTCATAACCACAAAAACTATATGTCATCATGATTTTTACAAAACTACATTTAGGAGTTGTTAATGTTGTTATGGAACAGTAAAGTATGTTGGAATAGCCTAATCCTCCTTTAGTTTATATTTCCACAAAATAATGCTATGCAGATGCAAGAATTGGACATTCTTGACAAAATTTAGCTTCATGATGATTGTTTTTTAGTTAGTTGTTTGTTATAGTGGCTCCTAACCATATATGGCAATTTTACATTTGTGCCAAGATCTCAGCTATAATTTCGCCAAACTCGTAAAGCATAAAAGTAAAAGTAAATAACACAATATATAATTATTATAGTAATTCTTAACTTTGGTTTCCTAAGAATATTTTTAAAGAATCCTATAATTTTATTGCATGTAATTGTTTGTCGACTAGAGCACTTTCATACACATTTTGTTTGTTACATCATTTCATGGACATCACCTCCTCTACTCAAGAATAAATAAATCTGATAATAGTGACAAATGATGTTCTGGAACTGCTGAACCAATATCCAACATGGAAACCCTTCTTTTTTTTGCAGTTTTTAGTACTGCATCTCCAAATGGTTTCGTCGTTAACATAAAGTTTCAGGTTGTGGCCATTTTTGCATACTCTTTTGCCAGGTAAAAGACCTCTTTCTTAAAAAACTGATATGGCATTTACCTGATTACTTGAAAATTAAAGATTGTTAATGTCATATTCACAAAAAAGTGGATATATTTTAAAATAAAAAATGCAAATTTGAAAACCCATCAAAATTGTATAATATAAGAATGTGCAGCGAAAGCAAAAATGCAATATGGTGCTAATATACGATTATGTTGCGAGGTATAAAAACACTCAGCTGGAGCTAATATACAATCACATGGCAAGGTATCAGAATACGCAGCCTGATTTTGGCGAGATAACTCAGTTAATTGGTGACTGAGTCTCAGAGGCCGCTATAGCAGGAGAAGTAACATTTTCTTTTTTCCCCTTCTGTTTTGCTCCATAGAAGGTATCACATGTCTTTGGTATTTAACCCTTTCCGGCACGCTACCTTTCAAAGTTGGAATTTTGATTTAAAAAAAAAAAAAAAAAGGTAGGCAGTTTAATTAGGCCTAGAGGAATACACAAAAAAATTTTTGTGAAGATAGCACTTATCGTTTTAATTCTGTGTGTGTGCCCAAAGTGGCACACTGATTGAATACAGCTTCGAAAAGAGTGCTGAAACAAGCATTGTTGCTAAGGGACTGATTAATGAGATGCGAAGAAACAAAGAATACAGACTCTCAGCTGTCCTAGATTATCGGTGAGCCCGGTCTGGGCACACCTAGGGTTCGCCGTTTAATTTTAGGCAAGATTTCAAGGTAAAATTTTAAACTAATATGGAAGGAGATTAGATTACAGCCAAAAACATAACATAGAAACTTCTTTTCAAACAATTCCTTTTATACCCTAAAAAAATCTGGAAGATTTCTTTGAAAAATGAGGGTCTTAAAAAACTAAACATGGCTAAAATATATGGACTGGTTTGTGTTGAGCTGCCATCTACTATAAATAAAGAAGGTTCAGAGTAACCTATTGACCATGTAGAATTATTTCCTCTTGCAAAAGAAAGACTGACAATTTCTTTCTAAAACTGCACTAAAGTTTTTTTATTTATTTATTTAAATTGCCAGTTATAAGCAGTCCTCCCAATCAGTTATTGAAAATTGATTATTTTCAATATGAATGTGAAAATTAGCTTCTTAACATTAAATATTGTAAAAAGGTATATTTTTTAAAGTACATTTTCTTTAGTATTTGTTTTTAATTTTCCTCTTGCTTAGTTATTATCGAATTAAATGAAAGAAAGATATTGTGAAAAAATCTTAATAAAATTTTGATGAAATATTAAATTTCAAAATGGCTGCAGATGTACTGTAGCATAGTTATTATATTAAACCATCATTTTATTAAGTATTTTTATTTCTCAATATTATATATTTTTTAATTTTTAGATTCGTCTGTATGATCCTAAAGCCCAGAGGCGACCAGTCATTAATATGGAGTTTGAGAAATATCCTTTAATATCTTTGTCTTTAGCACATAATGAATACCAAGTTGTAGTAGGCAGTGGTCGAGGTAGAATGGCTTTGATTGATTTACGAAAAAAACTCCTTGTCCATGTGTTTAAAGGCTTTGCTGGTAGCATTCGTTGTGTCCAGTGTCATCCAACATTACCACTAGTTGCATCTTGTGGATTAGACAGGTTCTTGAGGATCCATGATTTGAATGAACACAAGTTATTAAAGAAAGTATGTTTTATCAATTAATCTTCAAATATTATAATTCACATTTTTAACGTAATATTTTAATATTTTGTATTGTAGATTTCAAGTTCTGATTGTGCTCTTACATTTTTAAGAAATATAAACTATCTATTTAGAAGTAATCCTAAATGCTTCATTAAACTTTCAATGATCTTAGCCATAAACATCGTTAGTATTTTTCTATACTAAATTGTTACACAATACCTTCAGTCTTGCTGTCTTGTAATTTAAATCATCATACCATCTTTTTAGTTTATGTAAGCAAAACTTTTTCTCTCATCCACAAAGGCCCTCCAACGGCCGAGTGGTAACGTCGCTGAACACTGGTAGTGCGGTCTGAGGTTCGAATTACATGAATGGGCTGGCTGCATGGGCATTTTCATGGTTTTCCCCATGTGTAACGTGTATACAAGCCAGTTTCCCTTAGAAAGTCCTCCACGAAGGCACCCCTCCCTCTAGGCAGTTAGCCCTCGAGGCTTTGCCGCAATCACATAAAACCAAAATCAAACCATCCACAAAGAATTACTGCTGCTTTTCTGTGTTAACTGTAACCATGCTATCCATTTTATTCCTCATATTTTTTGCCCTCCTAAACCAGGGCTGTGGAGTCGGTAGGGAAAATGACAAACTCCGACTTCTGGAATTTTAAAGACTCCTCCCTCATATATATATATGTAAAATATTAAAAAAATATGATGGCTTTGCTCTTCACGAACAGGCAACCTTTAATTAACTTTCTGCAATTCAGGATCTTTACCCTAGACCAGTACCTTCTAGAATTTGCTAGCCTATTACGTAACCGCTACTATAAATAACAAATGCACACAATTTTGCGTCAGAAGCTCGCCTCTCCGCCTGTGCTATACTTCGCCCTGCTCTGTCCTTCCTTCTGTTCTTTGTTAGAATGTTATGATGCAGAAAGTCAAAATTTAATCATTATTGAATAGGTAATTTGGAAAACTTAATAATTAATAAAAAGTCGGAAAAGGAAATTGATCTGCTATTTGAAGTAAATAAATATGTACAATTAAATGTGAAATTCCTCTGTGTGTCTTCTTTGGATATCGCCTTACCACTCTGCTAAAAGCATGCTTGAACTCTGATGCTGAGTTTCAGAACTGCCAAAATATCACACACGCACACACATACATATATATACAATGATGGCCAAAATTGTGAACACTTTTGGAAATTTGTGTGTTTTTGAACTTTGTATGCTTATAGAAAATGTTACGTTTCGCGAAATGCAAACTCGTATATATCATTTTAAAGAGAATTTATAACTGAATTCAATACAAAACACAAAAATCCAATTATTTGCAATACAAAAAAAGTTACAGGTACTTTAATATAAATAAAAAACACAGTTATGAAGTAGTTTGTAATGTCTAGCTTTCCTGGCCAATCACTGTTCTTGTTCTGAGAACCAATCAAATTTTAGTAACTGCCAGTAGAAGCTGACATCATGTTTACATTTGAAACAATTCATTATTTTGCTTTGTTCTGTAGAAGAAGGACCTGTTTCTTATACACTGCAATTACAAGTAGGAATTTTTGTAAAAATTTTTAATATTTAGTCAAGAAGCAATGACATCAAATAAAAGAGTAGATTGGACACCTAGAAAGAGATGTAATATTATTGTCGTACGAGAAAGTGGTCTTTCCTATGCTGAAATTGCAAGACAGGTGGGTGGTTCAGTGATTACATCTGGAGTCCGAAAGTTTTGTTTACAATATCAGGAGACAAATTCAATAAAAAACAAAGAAGGAAAAGGCCGAAAAATGTGCACCACATCTATTGATGACAGAAGAATAAAAAGACTATGTCTCCAAGATAGAAAAATGTCATCAGCGGCCATCAGAAGTGATCTGAATGATGCTGGTGTTTCTGTCAGTTCAAGAACAACCAGGAGAAGATTAACAGATGTTGGACTGAGAGGTAGAATCCCACGAAAAAAGTCTTATCTTAATTTTCAGCAACGAAAAAAAAAAAAAAAGACTACACTGGGCAAAGGAACACATTAATTGGAAGATGATCAGTGGTCACAAGTTATATAGAGTGATGAAACTAAGATATTGTTATTCAGTAGTGATGGGCGAAAATATGTAAGACTTAGAATAGGAGAAGAGCTACATCCTGACTGCATTCAAGCAACTGTGAAGAACCCAGTTAGTGTTATGATTTGGTCATGCATGTCAGCAGATGGTATTGGTCGCCTTCATGTCATCGATGGGACACTGAATGCCAGAAAATACATTGACACTATTCTAGAACCAAAACTTCTACCTTCCATCAGAGATCTCTTTCCCAACAATGCTTCGTTTATTTTTCAGCAGGATTCTGCTCCTTGCCACATGGCCAAAATATCGAAAGAGTGGTTTCGTACAAAGAGCATTAAATTGTTGTCATGGCCAGAAAACAGTCCTGACCTCAATCCTATCGAAAATTTGTGGCACCGTTTGAAAACTCTTGTCCGAATGAGGCGCGCATCAAATAAAAGGGAACTAATTGAGGCTATAATTGTTTCTTCGCATTGTGTAATAATGAAAGAAGAGCTTAAAACTCTTGTCAGCTCAATGAAACTTCGATGTGAAGCTGTAATCAAAAATCAAGGGTACACTACTAAGTACTGATAACTCACTGCAATCATCACTATGTAATGTATATCGATAACTATTATTGTTTAACTTTTTTTGTATTGCAAATAATTGAATTTTGTGTTTTGTATTGAATTCAGTAATAAATTCTCTTTAAAATAATATATACAAGTTTGCATTTTGTGAAACATAACGTTTTCTATAAGCATACAAAGTTCAAAAACATAAAAATTTCCAAAAGTGTCCACAATTTTCACCACCACTGTATATAAACAATAATTGTTTTAAAAGAATATAGTAAAGTTAAATTAAATTTAAATAATTTGAATTTAACAAACATTCTCTATTTGCAAAAAGCAAATTTAAAGTAAATTTTAAATGAAATTGAATTACAAATATATGATTAATTATTGCTGCAAACTAATCTACAGTACAATATCATTTAAATTCTGAGAGCATATGTAAATCGAGTGCAAGTATCAAAATCTATGAATATATAATAAATGTATAATATATAATTCCAATAAATTTTTTAATCCTAAAAATTTATAAAAATGTATAATTGAATAATTGTTGAGCAAGCAGGAGACAGACTTATCAAGGGGAAGTTGCCTTCAAACCTAACTGTTCAATTATTCAATTCGTGTTTCGTCGTCCATGTAGGCAAGGGTAAAAGGAAAATTCAAAACCGAAAGTAAAAACAAATGTTGTCAATTACTAAAAAGAAATTTAAACAATTGGAATTTCGAGAAATTAGCAAGTAAAGACTGGAATAATTTAATAGACTGGAATAATTAATTAACCTCTTACTTGTCGCAAAATTTATTCAAAAATCATGAATTTTTTATTAATGTTTTTAATGCTTATGAAATTTAAAATAAATTCATATAAAAAATACTATATTTTTCATTAAATTATACAGTATTTTTAAAATATGTAAAATTTTTTATTAACTTACCTTGTTTTACTTTATATTTGTCTATCCTCTTACACCCAAGCAGCGAGGAAAGCTTGAATACAGGCATTTAAGATTACATGTAAATTTGAGAGAGAAATCATGTACATTTAAATAACACACACTAGTATATGCAAATGGTGAGGCTTTTATTCAACATCAATAATAACTGTAATATTTTTCAAAAATTAATAATTTTTCTGGATATGGTGAAATTTGAAACATGGTATGCACAGTCCTACATTACAAGCTTTACAATAATACCTTGTTTCTCTCCTAATTCGTTTTCCATTTGCATTCTTCTTTTATGAATACACTTTACATTTTCTGGAATTTTTTTTTTTTTTTTTTTTTTTTTTTGTTGTAGGTGGTATAGGTTCTAAAAAATGTCATTCAAATAAACGATTTGATGGTGTTTACTCCATAGATGACCTCGTCTTGAAAAACTGATAAAAGTATGGTATTTGTCAATTATTTCATTGATTAAATCCAGTCAAAACTTGAGATGTGACTTTTTTCCACCTACTTTTTTATAAACTTTTTATAAGCATTGAAAACGCTTATAAACTTGAACGCTTATAAACTATATAATTGAAAACACTGACTTCAATAAAACAATGGGAAAACACACCTCCCATTGTTTTATTGAAGTCAATTACTACCTTTGGTTTTGTTTTCAGTTTTTTACTTTGGGTCATTACTTCGACAGTTTCAGAATCATGAAAAGATGATAACATTGTTACTTCCTTTTTGTCCTTCCATTTGAGAGTGAGGATTTTGCCGTGTCTAAATGATATAACTTCGTCAGTTTTTAAATTTTAAATGCTAAAGGTAAATCAATCTTTTTTGTTTTGTCCAACAGTTCCAACCACATCTGTTTGGTAAGTCTAAAGGATATTATGTAATTCTGGTGAAGTATAATAATTATCTAAGTTGGTGCAGTAACCTGGTTTCAATAATGGCATCATCAGAGTCATAACAACTTGTGAAGGTACCGAGAGAGATTGGAATTTAGGATGAAACAAAGTACCTTTCCCGGTATATATGATAAATGACCATATATAACCAGAACTAGATTTGCTTAGCATGTACGTTTTGATACCAAATTTTGCTTTTTTCAAGGGTATGTATTGGTGTCAGGATAAACGTCCTTTGTACAACATCAGCGTTTCATCTATGGTAATATCTCTTTCTGGAGTAATTGTTTTTTTGATATACTTTATTCAGATGCTCACAGATAGGCCAAATTTTGTAGAGTTTTGGGCTAGGATGATTTTCTGGATCATAAGAATCATTGTTTACAAAATGCAAGTATTTTTTTATTTCACGGTATCGATTATATGACATTATCTTACGGGGAAAAAGGAGTTTTTACTGATGTTTTCTTAGTCCAATACATGCTTTCTTCAGGTTTTTTTTACAATACCTTGTA